AGCAGGGTTTATTGTTGTTGTTGTTTTAATGGTAAGGCATTCTAACTGGGGTGAAATGACAGGTCAATTAAGTTTTGATTTAATTTCCCTGATAGCTAATCGGCTCCCAAGGATTACAGGCACCACCACCCCATGACTGAAGGGACAAAGGCAGGTGGATCTCTGTGAGTTCAAGTCTAGCCTGAGTTGCAAATTTTAGGCCAGCCAAAACTAAAGTGAGACCCTGTCTGTTTGTTTTCTGTCTGCTGTCTGTCTGTCTGTCCTCTGTTGAATCTGTCAGTTGACTGCAGTCTTCCTGTCTATTTTTGCTTTTGGTGTCATATGGAAAATCATTGTCTATACAAGTCTCATGAAAGTCGGCTGGGGCTTACAGTGGAAGGAGAGAACAGACTCCTACTGGTTGCCCTCTGACCTCCACATGGCACATAGCACCTACCCCTTTGAAAATAAATGTAACAATACTATACATTCTTAAACTCTCTCCCTCTCCCTCTCCCTCCCTCCCTCTCTCTCTCTCTCTCTCTCTCTCTCTCTCTCTCTCTCTCTCTCTCTCTCTCTTTCTTGTTGAGACAGGATTTTTCTGTGTAGCACTTGCTGTCTGTCTTGGAACTTGCTCTGTAGACCAGGATGACCTCAAATCAGAGATCCGCCATAGTGTTTGTCACTATGCTTAGCCAGTTTATTAGTATTATTATTAATTATTTTATTTTATTTTGGTTTTTCAAGACAGGGTTTCTCTGTGTAGCTCTGGCTGTCCTGGAACTCACTCTGTAGACCAGGCTGGTCTCGAACTCAGAAATCCGCCTGCCTCTGCCTCCCAAGTGCTGGGATTAAAGGCGTGCGCCACTACCTCCTGGCTTTATTAATTTTTTTAAAAAAAGGAAATTTAGGCCGGGCAGTGGTGGCATACGGCTTTAATCCCAGCACTTGGGAGGCAGAGGCAGGCGGATTTCTGAGTTGGAGGCCGGCCTGGTCTACAGAGTAAGTTCCAGGACAGCCGGGGCTACACAGAGAAACCCTGTCTCAAAAAACCAAACCCCCCCCCCCCAAAAAAAAAGGAAATTTAATAAAGCAAACAAGAACCAGTATCCCAGTCCTCATGGATACCAAGATAAAGCTTGCTGAAGCACGTTATTCTGAGGTGCTAATACATTTCTCCTTTTTAGGAAGCTCTACTAAGGCCATCCTCTGAGACTTGGCTAGGTTTTGTGTGACCTGTCCATCTCTGCGTGGATCACAGATAGACCCTAGTAAGTAGGCACCAGTATTCACCCTCATCACCACAGAGACAGAATTCCCAGGGTCCCATGATCCCCTGCCTTCTTCTCCACCTTGGAAGACCACATTTGGGAATCTCTAATTCTATGTAGGAGGCTCTCTCCTTTAATAAATGTGGCACCTGGAAGTCCCATGGACAAATACACAGGCTAGGAACCCCGGCCTTGTCCCTTGAAAGGCCTCTCCTGTTGCCTGAATCCTGTGTGAAGATTGGACTCCACTGAGCTGCAAGAGCAGTCTGTCATCTGTCCCTGAAGCCCTGGGTCCCAGCTGTAACCTTACATTCTGCTCCAGTGCTCCCTCATCAGGGCTGGACTCTGCACATTTGGTTCAGGCAATGCTGAGGCCCAAGTTTCCATTCACGATTTTGGCCCCAGACTCTGTCTCTCTTCATTTCCAGGAGGGGCAAGGGTAGGCTCCTCCCAAGGCCCCAGGGCTGCCAGAGAGTCAAATGCTCTTGGCAGGGACAATATCCACACAGCTGGGAGGATACATTCCAGGGAGACTCAGCTGGCAGGACAGTGGGTTCCTGTGTCGTTGCCAGGCCTTGTGAGCAGAGCCCTGGACAAGAGCGTGAAGCCTGGCCCTAACCCATGAGACAGTGCTCTTGGATCCTGTTGTCTTTCTGCCCAGAACTGGGAAAATAAGAAGACATCTGCAAATGGCTGAGGTACTGAAGTCCATCCTGAAAACTCCTGAGCCACTGGGTGGGGTGGCAGTCAGGGGCAAAGGTCAGCACTATAACCTTGACTTAGCCCTTAGCACCTTGGCTGGAAGTCCCATTGAGAACAGCCCATGCCTGAGCTGCTGCCCAGGCAGGCCCCTCTCTGAGAACATCCTGCATAGCATGCTTGCAACCCTTGATCCCAGCCTGGCTGATTATGCTGCCTCAGCAAGGGACTGAGGACAGTCTCTCATACAGGTCTGTCCCTTCCCAGGCTCTATTCTATGCCTATGTGCTAGATTTTTGCGTGTGTTACATTTATGCATATGAGAAACACGTGGTCTTTGAGTCTGGCTTGTTTGGTTTAACCTGGCAATCTCTAGTCCATACATTTCTCTACAAATGACAGATTTTCCTTCTTGGTGTCTGAATAAATCTCCAGTGTATATACACTACATTTGTTTTTATCCATTCACATGCTTACGGACACCGAGGCTGGCTCCATACTGGCCATTGTGAATATTGCCAGGATAATGATGGTACCCAAGTATATGCTGACTACCCATCAAACAGGGCCATCCTCAGCGGTTTTGCTTGCAGGGAGCCTGCACAGTGACTTCTGTAGTGATCACACCACTGCACCAGGGTACAAGTTTCCTCTCCATCCTCACCGTTTTGCTTTCTTTCTTTCTTTTTTTAATATTTATTTATTTATTTTATTGATGAATACACTGTAGCTGTCTTCAGACACACCAGAAGAGGACATCCAATCTCATTACAGATGGTTGTGAGCCACCATGTGGTTGCTGGGATTTGAACTCAGGACCTCTGGAAGAGCAGTCAGTGCTCTTAACCGCTGAGCCATCTCTCCAGCCCCCGTTTTGCTTTCTTACACATCTTATTTCAAGGCCTTCATTTATGCAGCCTGTTCCCCACTACGCTTCAGCACTGGCAGGATACTGGGTGCCGCCTGGTCTCACACAAGAGTTCAAGGCAAAGGTCATACTGGGAGTTCCCTTGGTATCTCAGTAGATAAGAGTCAGAGGTAGGAAGGAGGCCAGGGACGCCTGCCCTCCACCACCGGCAGAAAGGGCAGAGGATGGGCTTTTGATGGACTCTCCCTTGGGAATCCTAGGCTAGCTCTGGCTACACAATCCCCACACATGTCCACCTCTCCAGCCATCTGTCCACAAGTCAGAACAGTCTTCAGAGCAGAGAGCAGACTGCTGCCTGTAGAAGCCTCTGTGGTCTACAGAGGGAGGTCTACTGTCTTTTGGACTCCAGCATGCTTCTCCAGGACACACAGACCCCTTCTTCTTCAGGGCCTTGATACTAGTCATTGCAAGCTCCTGGAGTGCTGTTTCTCCACTGGTACAGCGCTCTCTCTCTCTCTCTCTCTCTCTCTCTCTCTCTCTCTCTCTCTCTCTCTCTCTCCACCCAGAGATGCCCCTCTGTACTTGGTACCAACCTCAGCCCACCTCTAGTCTCCCTTTTCAACTGAGAGCTGAGCCAGGACCCTGACCATCTTAGTCACACCTGTGTCTCAGGCATCTGGCAGGGAACACAAGTCTCAGTAGCTTAGCATAAATGAACTCCTTTCCAAGGTTGTTGACCATCAGGGCCCTTGTGGTCTCCACCATCTTGGAGTTTGGGGAAGTAACATCCTAGTCTCAGGTCTGTGGGAGAGGGAGTCAGTCGGAGCTCTGGGATGAGGGATGAGCAAGTTCCCATCTCTTCTTCCCACAGTGCCACATGGCCCTCCACAAGCCTGCTCCTTCCACGCAGGCTCCTGCCACCTTGCTTATTTTGTACAATGGCTAAGGACCACCTCTATACCCAGTCAGCCTCAGACAGTCCCGTCTGTCCATGCCTTTTATACTCTGAGGGTTTCCAGGAAAGGAAGGTTCCAGGAGAGTGAGGTTTATTTGTCAGCACCCCTGGGTGGAAAGGATGGGACTGCCTGACCTGGGTTTCTGAGAAGATGCCAGCTCCAGCTTCAGGAAGTTACTCTTTCCCTGAGAACCTGCCTGGCCCTATGCTCTCTGCCCAAACAGGAGAAGCAGCCTGAACTAGTTTGTGTGGCTGACAGAGGCTACAGAGGGAAAGGGCTGCAAACAAACACTTCCCAATCCTCCCTAGCTGGTCACTGCCAGTGCAGGAAGGATTGCAGGCAGCTCCTGGGTACTCCATACTGAGACCCGTCAACCACAGGTCTGTCAACTGCAGACTTTGGGATTTAGAATCCTAATAACACGGTTCACTATACCAGAAGTCGGAGGGGAGCTTTCCTAGCACCCAAGTCCCACACGTAGCAAACAGTGCCCACTCTATGTACAGGGACTCCAGGCAAGGCCAGCCAGGTACTAGGCAAAGACTCATTCTCAAGACAGGGCTTTTATGTAGCCAGGGTTCTGAGTCCTAGGATTACAGGCATGAACCTTCTTTACAGAAGGTTTCTGAAGGTCTCAAAGCTCTACAGTCGAAGGCTGATGGATTGCTCCCCAGGCACCGTCTGCAGGAGCTGTGCAGGAGACTACACAGGGAAGTCTTTGTCCCAGAAAGATCAGGCTGAGCCAGACACTGTTTCCTTTATCCCACCCATTTAGATAGCCCACAGCAATGAGCAAGATGTAGCGCTACATGCCTGTAATCCCAGCTCTAGGGAGGCTGAGGGCAGAGGATCTCAAGTTTGTCTCAGCCATATGTAGCAAGTTCTTGTCTTGGAAGGAAGGAAGGAAGGAAGGAAGGAAGGAAGGAAGGAAGGGAGGGAGGGAGGGAGGGAGGGAGGGAGGGAGGGAGGTAGGGTGGGAGGTAGGAAGGAAGGAGGGAGGGAAGGAAGGAAGGCAGGCTAGCAGGCTATCAGAGCAAGAGTATGTACCACTGTTCTTGGGGAGCCAGCCACCTGGTGGCATGAATGTCTCACTGAGTGGGGGACATTTCCAGGAATGCCCAGTGTAGCAGTAACAGTGATGGTTATTCCCAGTGCCAGGGTTTCTACCCTGGACTGAGCACTGTCTGAAGCTACAAAAAGACTTTTTTGTCTTAGCAACAAAAAGACTTGGTACTTCATTCTTATTTATTGGTAAATCAGTCTGGATAGGGTTTTTCTCCCTGAATCTAGAGTCCTAAGAGAAAACATTGATTCTACTGACTGCAGACAGAGATGGGTCAGAGACAGGATACATGGGCACTAGACATTTGGTGGTGACAGGGCAGAGGGCTTGATGGGCTGGTCTGGGCTCAGGGAGCTCAGGCTGCAGGCCACTTGGGTCTGAAGGGCACACACAGTACATCTGGGGTCCAGCTTGGCAGGACCCAGTGGCCAGGTAGTGGTGTCTGCATGCTGATAGATGAGCAGGCCTCATGCTCTCCCATGGGCTGCACCTGTTAAAGGTTGAAAGTGGGAATGGGGTCTGAAGCCCAAGTTTCAGAGTGAAGAGGACCTCCAATTCTGGTCTGGTCTTCCTTCTTCAACCCTAGTCTTAATGCTTGGGTTGGTCTTAATACCTGGTCTGGTTTAATTTCAAGGGCAGCAGCTGTAGCCTGGTCATCAAGGACTACATGTGAAATGGAAGGTAAATTATCTGAGAAGAATTAGAAGAGAGCCCAGGAGGCTGCTGTCTAGCAGAAAGGCACTAGTAATGGCTCTGGAATAGCCATCTGTCACATGCCCACTGCCACAGGAAAGGGTCCCTGGCAGTGGACTGGCTTGATGCAAACACTCTGCAGGTGAGGGTCAACTATGGAAGGCTGACCAGGAGACCCCAGAAGCATAGAATTCCACCTGAGTGGGCCAGTCACCATCTCCACTGCCCTCTCTGTCCTCATCGGAGTCATCGTCATCGCCACTGGATGCACCACAGACAGTGCCGCCTAGGTGGGACAGCTGCCGTGGAGAGCCCCCGAAACTCTCCTTGGCCTCCTCCCTCCGCTTCTGGGCAGCCAGCTCTCGGTAGCAGAGGCTGCAGACACGAAGGGGCTTGGGAGAGAGACGTGGCAACAGGAAACGCTCCTTGGAACACTCAGCACAGACCACAAATCCGCATTTGCGGCAATGGTGACGCCGGGTGAGTGCCGAGAAGCGTGTCTGCGTGCAGCGCATGCAGATGTCCGTGGCCTTGTCGGGGATCCAGGGCGCAGCATGCTCTGTGGTGGGCTGGCGGCCTGTGGCCAGCAGCTGCCTCCGCACACACTCTTCTATGTGGCTTATCCATTCCTGACGTTCCGTGGTGGAGGCTGCCGACACCACAAAGGACTTCTTGGCTGTCTTGATCATCCAGCGGTTCTTGGCCTGCAGGGTCTCCGGCAGCGGTTCCAGTGTTACCTCTTCCAGGGGAATAATATGCTGGCTGCGGTACTTGCGTTTGCTAAGCACAATGCTGCCGTACACCAGGATGTCGTTGAAAAGGAAGAAGATTCGTGGCTTGGCCTTCTTGCGGCACTCCTTGGTCAGCACCCCCTCGCCTAGGAGCACACGGCCGGGCAGGGCCAGCGGCTGCCCCGATGCCCCAAAACAGCTCTCTACTGCTGCAATCCGCTGGCTGTTGATCTCGGTGTTTGCCAAGTGGTCCACCATCTTCTCAACAGCTAAGCTGTAGGAGGCAGACAGGAAGGCCATCAGCTTTGCCCATAAAGTCAGAACCACACTGCTCGCCGCCCCCCCACCCCAGCTCACTCACCCACCAAACTAGACAAGCCTATTTATTATCCCACTGTGCTTCAGCAAGCCCACTAGCCTCCCAGGTACAGAAACCGAGTGTTTCAAAGGTTGACCCGGAAAGAATTATTGGGGGGGTGGAGGGTGTGTGGGTGAAGGGGACTCTCTAGCAGGAGGGATGTGGAAAGCAGACCACAGTGGGAAGACAGCCATAAGGAGTTACCTGTAAGAAGTAAAACGCCCAGGGGCCCTAGGGACCTTGGAAATAGGGCTCACCTCAGGCACCCACGAGGAGCAAGGAAGCTGGAATAGGGAGCCTCCAGCTCCTAACAGCTGTTCTGGGATAGTCTGTAATTGGAAGACAGACGGTCCACATACGGAACAGTGTCTAGGACCCAAACAGATCACAGACTCTGCAATCCCTCATTTGCCCAAGGTATCCAACTATCTAACTGTTCAGGGTGTCGAAGCTCACTCTTGCCATCCATGTGCTACCTCTAAGCCAATGGTGATGCTATCTCATTATTCCTCACACAAACCCTAGCAGGTCAGAAAACTCTCTGCCCACCACCCCCACCTTACAGGACAAAAACAGACTCTAGAAGTAGGTTGGGGGAAATACACCTCATACCACACCACCGCCTCTGTGGAAGGTAAGGCCCACTTGGGTCCTCTGCTGATGTACTACTAGGCAGTAAATCCTAGCACACCACACGTAGCTAGGACATCTGTGCTGTCCAATTCCACCCTTCTAACCCCAGCATATTCGGACCTGAAGAGTACAGAGATGTGCTCACTTCCTGGTCCTAGCCTTTAGACTTGGCATCTCCACTAAGTTCTAGGCATGGACAGCCCCCTCACCCACACCCAGTTATCAGATAACTTCTTACAGTCAACACCGACCTCCATGTTCCCCAGGCCTTCTCTTAGCTTTTGTCCATCATCAGAAACATCACCTACCCAGTGGCTCAAACTCTAAATCTAGTCTCCATCCTTGAACCTCCTCTTTCTCACACACGAACGTCTCAACATGGGTCTCCACCACTGCACCGTAGTACGGTGCCATCTTGCCTCACCTGGAAAAGGCTATCCATGTTGACCCTGGTCTTTGACCAGCTTAGTTCCTGGTTCTCTTTCAGAACGATTCTCCATTAACCTCATCTCAGGTAGCTTTTTCCAGTGATGGCAACTAGCCAGAGGTCAAATTTGGACCACAGCCCATTTTTATTCTAACATGGCTGTGTATATTCATGAATGACTGAGCTATGTGGCGACAGAAATCACATGGCCATGAAACCTGAAATATTGACAATCTGTGACCCCTTCTGTAAGATGCCACCCTGCTTTTTTTTTTTTGTTTGTTTGTTTTTTCCCTTTGCGACGCTTATCAAGACTTGGTCACGGTGCTGGAGAGATTGCTCATTTGGACGAGAGCTTGCTTATGAACCTTGAGTAGACCCCAAGTAAAACCGACGGGTGTGGTGGTGTGTCTGTACTCCATTGCTGGGGAGGTAGAGAGAGGATCCTTGAGCCTTGTTGGCTAGTTAAGATAGCTGAATTTGTGAGTGTTAGTTCAAAAAAAAAAAAAAAAAAAAAGAGGTAGGCGGCCTATACTGCTTTCCCAGAGGATCCACCTTCCATTTCCAGCTTCCAACCTCCTTAACTCCAGCTCCAGGGAATCCAGTGCCCTCTTCTCGATTCTGTGGGCACTTGCACTCATTCTTGCTTATACCCACCTGTGCTGGCTACTCTTATGGCTACTAGAGTTATCTAAAAGGAGGAATCCTCAATTGCAAAAATTCCTCCATAAGATCCTGCCATAAAACATCATCTTAATTAATGACTGACAGAGGAGGGCCCAGCCCATTGTGGGTGATGCTATACCTGGGCTGGTGGTCCTGGGGGGTCTATAAAAAAAAGCAGGTCAAGCAGGCCAGGGGGAGCAAACCAGAAAGCAGCACGCCTCCGTGGCCTCTGCATCAGCTCTCGCCTCTAGATTCCTGCCCTGTTTGAGTTCCTGTACTGATTTCTTTCAATGATGAACAGCAATGTGGAAATATAAGCAGAATAAACCCTTGATCTTGGTATCACACTGTAGCAATAGAAACTCTAAGACACCACACACACACACACACACACACACACACATATATGTATATATGTATGTGCACAGATATGTATATACCTATATCTACATCTATCCATAATTAAAAGTAAAATAAAATTTTAAAAAACCAAAACCAAGGTGGACAGCAAAGGAGGAAGATACCAGATATCTTTGGCCTCAACACAACACACACACACACACACACACACACACACACACACACTACCACCACCAACAAGAACAACACAGAAACCCTGGTATTTTCCTGTCCAGTCACTGTACATGTCCCCTCTATTGCCTCCATTCAATCCTTAGTTCCAGCAAAACAGAAGTTTTTTCTTGCCAATGGCTAGACCAGCAATTCTTAAAATTGTGCCGTGCACCCAGTAGGTGCCATGTGCACAAACCTCTCTTTGAGACTCAGCTCTTATTTGTTGAAAAGGAAGCAGGAGTGAGTTGACCTCTTACCACATGCAAACACTTGCACACACACACACGCGCACACACACACACACAAATTTCTAGGTCACCATACGGTGGATCTGTATGTGAGGCTGCCTGTGGGAATCTGGAGGTGGGGGTGAAAAGGGAGGGGATAAGAAATCAGCCAGGGGAGACACTGAACCTCTTCAGTCCCGTTTCACCCCCCACCCCCCTTTAGGCCTAAGTGCCGTCCACACCACCTGATGGAACTATTTTTAGTTAGCTGATCTTGGCTTCAAACTTTGTTCTGCCACCTGATCATCAGTTCTTGGCTGAGGGACAATATGACAAACCCAAATGTGCCAGCACTCTACCTTCAAGGCCACCAGGCACTGTTCTGGAGGCCAACGTGGATAACATCTTACTGTAAGGAGGCCAGAATGGCCCAGAGGCAGGAGGCCCAAAAGTACAGTGGCTTAAGGTTAACAGAGTCAACTGAAACTCTTAGGAGCAGAGGGAAAGAATGAAAAACAGGGTTTGGGTTGGAGCAATGGCTTAGCACACTTGCTGCTTTTCCTGAGGACCAGAATTTGGATCCCAGTACCCACATCAGGTGGCTCACAACTGCCTGTTAACTCCAGCTCTAGGGGATCTGACACATTCCTCCAAGACATTCACATACATGTGACATTCAATCACATGAATAAAAGTCAAAATAAATCTTAAAAAAAAAAAGAACCAACAACAAAACCCAAAAAGCCCAGGCTCTTCTCACACCACGGATTAATGGACCGACAGGAGTAACGAACACTTGGTGGGCTGAAGTGAGCATCTCTAGGATGGTACATAACAACTGAATGTCACTCAAGCAGAAACCATTAAAGAAGCCCACCTACAAGTAAAAACAGGAGGTGATCCCATACCCATTGGAAAGTTCCTAGCAAAGAAATTCCAGTTCGTGCCAGAGTGGAAAAGTGGGAAGAATGTGTACTGCTGCTGGAGATGTAAACTGCCACAGCCACAGGCTGGGGACATGCCTCGGTGGCTCTCCATGCACTTGCAGGGACCCAGGCTTGGTTTTCAACACCCACATCAGGTGGCTCACAGCCACCAGTAACTCCAGTTCCAAGAGCTCTGAATATGTGTGGTACACAGACATAGAAACACTCAACAAAATTAACAACTACATCTCAAGAAAAAAAAATGGCATAGCTATGATGGGAGACAACCTGAAGACGCTTCCAAAAATTAAAAATAGATTTACCGCCGGGCGATGGTGGCGCACGCCTTTAATCCCAGCACTTGGAAGGCAGAGGCAGACGGATTTCTGAGCTGTTCAAGGCCAGCCTAGTCTACAGAGTGAGTTCCAGGACAGCCAGGGCTATACAGAGAAACCCAGTCTCGAAAAACAAGCAAACAAAAAAATAGATTTACCATATACCTTTCCCACCCTGGATCTATCTCCAAAAGGACTGGAAGGAATATCTATACTCGTGTGTGTGTGTGTGTGTGTGTGTGTTTACTAAAGCCAAGAGGCAGAGGCAAACCAAATGCCCATCACCAAGGGAACACATGATAGCCAAGGAGGAAAGGTGATCTACAATCAGAAACTAAAAATCCAGACCCAATATGACCCACTGCCAGCCTTCCTTAATGCAATCTTAGTGAAATACAATCACATTCAGACTAACACAATCTAAAAATGTATCTACTCTCTGGTCCCTTACACATGCAAAGCCACACAGGCTCTGTCCTGATGCAACCCCTCATCTCCTCTTGCTCACTGCAGTACAGCCCTTAAGAGAGCTCTGGGGCCACCCTGAACTCAGGAAGAAGTAGTGAGGTACAGGGGTAAGAGGTGAGGTTACAGGGGCAGGCAGGGCCTGTCTTGCAGGTCCACAGGCCAGTGTGAACATTCCGGGAGTTATTACAAGGGTAGTAAGGGAGTGGCACCACTCAGTTGAGTCACTGAGACTTTCTAGAATCTTCCTCCGGGAGAACAGAATAAGGAAAATGAACCCTTAGGTGCCACTTTCTCGGCGCCTACTGTTTGCTAGGTACAATGTTAAGCACATAGCATTGGCTGTCCCTACAAGTTCCTTCACACTCACCACCCTAGAACCTCAGCGAGTGAGCCCAGCTTCCAAATAAGTTCTGAGATTAGGAAGAAAAACTTTGGCCTAGGGGGCATTCCTGTAATCTAGCACCTGGGAAGATTAGATAGGAAGTTAGAGAGTTCTAGGTCAATCTAAACTATACAACGAGACCTTATCTCAAAAAACAAAATCTTTGGTGCAACATAGCTCAGAGGGTAAGGGTGTTTGTGGCCCAGTTCCATCCCGGGAACTCACATGATGAAAAGGAGACAATAACTTCTGAAAGGCATGCCCTATTAAACAAAACAACACGCCCCCACTCCCTTCAGAAAAAACCACGCCCAGGATCAGAAGTTCTTAAAGTCGACAGTGTGTAGTCTTTCCTACAGCCTGACTTTGGTGTCTTTTTTCACTGCATGGGTGACCAATTCCATCCGCAGGACACAATGCCAAACCCCTCCTTCCTTGGCGGGACAGGGTTAGCCAGACCCCAGTGCTCAGGCAACTAACTGGCCTAGCCCTAGGCAGCTCTGAGGGCTGACGTGAGCAGGACGCACAGCAAATGAAGCACTTCAGCTTACAAAAACCGCAGGGATCTAGACGCCAGCACTGATCGCCCCTCCTCCGCGGCCTCTAACCTGGTCGAATCTGATATCGGTTGTGTTCAGATTCCAAGGCCTGCGCCCTCTCGGACGAGCGCACACGTTCCGCAGTGAGTCGGAACTGCCGGTTTCCCTCTTGCTGAGGCCTGAGGACACCTCTTACTGCACTTCAGTTCTTCCCTAGGAGAGTCCAAGCCCTGTTCCACCCTAGTAACTTCCTATATGAAGAATCACAAACTTAAACTCTTCAAGGTCCCAAAACCGTCCCTCCCAACCCAAGGCGCCTCTGGCCAAGACGTGATTCCCGGAACATCATGGGATAAGGTGAGGGTAGAGACCCTGCGGAGAACCCTTCCCCGACTCACAGCTCGCACACAGCCCTTGGGCTCAGGGGCCCTAGAGTCCCAGCTGTCAACCCCTTCCCAAAGAGCCTTCACAAGTCAGCAAACAGCGAGCACCCTTTGCTCCAGTGGAGCCTCAGATGCGGATTCCTGAGCCCACCTCTACCCGCAGCTGCAGACCTGGCGTGGTGGAGAGCGGAAGGGGAGCGCTCTCCCTCCCCGTAGCTTGCTTACCTCGCGTAGGAAACCCCGCGTCTGCACAAGCGGGCCCCCGAACTGGCGCTCGCCAATCCCAGCGCGGCCCACGTCTCCGGGTTCCAATTCCCTGGTCACGCCCCTTAGAGGACCTCTGGACCAATCGGAGCCCTGGCACACAGGCGGGGGCGGAGCCGGCCGGAGTTCTCCAGAAATTCACGCGGGCGTAGTTGAAACGCTGGACCCTAAACGGGTCAGCGCCGGTTGTGCGTGGGGACTCGGGGCTGATCCCTGCTTGGAGTCCGGTTCCCAGCTTTCCTGGCAGCTACACTCAAGACTGAGTCAGCGCGGGTCCGAGGGACGGTCTGTGAGGGAAGCAGGCATGACGGGGTGGTGGACCCTCAGATGCCCCTGCTATCATGATGGCTATCTCTTTTCAGCAACAGTGACAGGCATTTTATTAAAGACCAACAAAACGATAATTTTTTTTCTAGTGGAAAAAGTCAAAAGCAGAAGGGAGGAAATAGATGAGTTTAGTGGACCCCAGGTATTCATCATGTAGCTCCAACATGAACAGGCACCCCTCCCTGGCTGCTGGTGACACTCAGAACTCAATTCCAAGGCTGCTTTCCCGTCTCACCTGCCCCCACGCAATCTGGGTTCCAATCCTGGTTCCTAAAACCCGCTAGGTTTCACTCCCACCCTTAGCCCTCTCTCTCCTTTGTCATTTCAGTGTCGCCTCCTTAGAGAGGTTTCCTTGACTACAAAGCAGCAGTTCTCAACAGCTTCCATATTTTACTATTGTCTTGTTGTTATTGTTGTTATCCCTCTTTAATCAGAAGATTTGGGGGTCCGGGTGGCATATGCTTGTTGATCTCAGCACTCAGGAGGCTGAGACAGGAGAATTGAGTTTGAGGGCAGCTTGGGCTACATAATAAGACCTTGTCTCAGTCAGTCAACCAAGGAGTTATAAATATTGGTCTATTTCTGTTGAAGTTTGGTCTTCTGCTTATATTGTACTGCTAAATTACAATATGATTACAAGGCCTGGCTACCTCCAGGGATGACTGCACATACTCAAGTGGCTCCATGTAAACTTGACCCCCTAACTTCTCCCTAATTGGTGAATAAAGCTGCCCACAGCCAGTAGCTGGGCAGAAGAGAGATAGACGTGGTCTTGAGTTCCTGGGTTTAGGGTCTAGGAGACCACGACCAGGAGAAGGACGGAGGCGGAAAAAAAAAATGAGAAGATGCCGTGGGTAAGAATCTTAAAATAATCTCCATGGGGCCTGGCTAGTTGGAGTTACGAGCAGCCCAGACAAAACATAGCAAATTATTATTATTGTTGTTGTTTGTTTGTTTGTTTTTTTCGAGACAGGGTTTCTCTGTGTAGTCCTGGCTGTCCTGGAACTCACTCTGTAGACCAGGCTGGCCTCAGAAATCCACCTGCCTCTGCCTCCCAAGTGCTAGGATCAAAGGCGTGCGCCACCACCGCCCGACCATAGCAAATTATAGAATGGAATTATTATTATATTATATTTTATATTATATTATGTAGCATAGAGGATAGATCTCTGCCTAGCTCTTTTGCTGACTAAAGTTTATCATAAATATAAAGGTTGTATGTGTCCTTCATTTGGGAATTAATGGTCCAATCCAGGGAAGAAACTCTGGTTTGGCATTGAAAATATTCAACAACATATTTCTCCACAGGAAACCATCCTTGTTAGATGGGGCTCATATTCTACCATCCACCACAGGCCCCACCACTCTCTAAGATTTTACTACCCATGGATGCATCCCATTTGGATTTTTAGTTGGAGGTGTAGCCACATTCTCCACTGTCCAGAGGTAAAAGACTGAGTCTGAAATCCCCTAGGCTGGGATGTAACTATTCCTGGAGTGTTAGGACAAAATCTGGCCCTGAGTTTTCACTGAATAGGCTGGGCCACCCATCCTTAGCAGGGAGGAACTTCTCAAGGAGAAATGGAGGTGACCAGGGTAACGATAGTTTCTGCGAAGGCAGAGCAGTTTTGTTTGTGCTGGCATGGATCGTAGCATCCAACACAGTACCTGGCAGTGAGGGCTGCCTGGAGAAGGGACTCTTAAAAGACCAGATGTGGATGTCAGAATCAGGAAACTCCTCCAGGTTTGCTCCACTGGTGATTCAGGGCCCAGTTAGAACTCAGTACCCACTGTCTCCTAGCCCCAGCATCTCCTGCAGCTGCCTGGAAGGATTGGGGAATCCCCTGTAGCAGCTTAAACAGATCATCCAGCTACCCACCCCTTCCCAGTGGGGGCTGGCTGTGGGTGGGGAGGCCTGAGTGGAGGGCTCCCTCCCTTCTCCTAGGAAGAGAAAAAACTTGTGACTCAGGAAAAGGCAGAAGTTGAGTCAGCCAAGCCACAGCTATGGAAAAAATGAAGTTTCCTGGAGGCCTTTTCTGCTTCCTTGACTAAAAAGGTCCTTTCTGGGAAAAGCTGGTTCCCAGACCACAGAGACCAGGGAGCCGGGAGGGGGGGAGAGAGGGGGCGGATCCAAAGATCAGGAGGCCCAAGTAAGTTTTTGGGTTTTGTTTGTTTGTTTGTTTTTGGCAAATTAATCCCTGTGTGAAAGAACACCTGGAATTATCATTGTCATGTTTATCAAGTTCTGTTGAATACCAAACACTATTCACCTAACACCAGGTCATCCTGTCTCTCCTTACTGTAAGTCAGCTATTTCCTGTGTTTGGCTCAAGAAGGGAAGAGTTGGGGATGTAGCCTGGGGGTAAAAGAGCTGCCTCCCACGCTCGAGGTCCTGGGTTCTATCCCAGAGGAAAAAAAATATAAAAGAGCTACTGACATACTTAGGGGTGAAAGCAACAAAATCTCACTCCCTGGAGAGCTGGAGAAGGGCCTTTCTGGTGGAGCTGTGCAAGGTCCTGGGTGCCATCCCAGAACCACACACAAAAAAATTAATAATTGGTAAATCTGAGTCAGGGCTTGGCAGACTTTCTGTATAAAGGGCCAAGCAGTAAATATTTGGGGCTCAGCAAAAGGGTCTCTGGGCCCAGCACTTTGAAAGCAGCCGTGGGTAACACAGAAACAAGTGTGAGTACAGACACAGATACCTGAATTTACTGTAATTTTAACGTGTTTTGGAGCATTCTTTCTTCTTTTGCATTTTCATTCTGTTATGGTTTGTATATGCTTGGCCTAGAGAGTGACACTAGTAGGAGGTGTGTCCCTGTGGGAGTGGGCTTAAGACCTTCATCCTAGCTGCCTGGAAGCCAGTATTTTCCTAGCAACCTCCAGATGAAGATGTAGAAGAACTCTTAGCTCCTGCACCATGCCTGCTTGGACACTGCCATGTTCCCATCTTGATGATAATGGACTGAATCTCTCAACCTGTAAGCTAGCCCCAAGTAAATGTTGTCCTTATAAGAGTTGCCTTGGTGATGGTGTCTGTTCACAGCAGTAAACCCTAAGACATGTTCTAACCCCTTGAACATGTGGAAGCTACTCTCAGCTCATGGATATTGTTGTGGGCTTGAATCCTCTGGGGGAAAGCAGAGTCTTAGTCTCAATTCAAATTTAGATTAAATGAATTTATTTTTACTGCTAGCAGAAAGAAGGTCTGCGGCAGCCTTAGAGCCAAAACAGCATGCCATGCAGAAGAGGGGTTAAGGTGAGGTTTTAAGGCAGACATCAGAAAGGTGTGCATTGCAACTATTCATGGGATCCACAACTGGGCAGGAAAATTGTTTTGCTTCTCAGATGTTTCTCACTTTTCTGCTATATAGTAAAGAAGAGACCATTTCATCCCTTTCTTACAGGGATAAGCAGGTTTTACAGAAGCCAAGGCAACTGCTAATATGTTTCACCCGCAGGCTACTAGGGTCTCCCAGGCATTGCAGGGAAAAAGGAATTCCTGGCTATGTATTGAGTTTCTTTAGTAAGTCATAGGGATCTGTGTAACTTACCAAGGTCTGGGCACTGATGGACTAATGACTGGGTTAGAGCAGTTCATTTTTTGGGCAGGCAAAAGCACAGGGTCTTCAGGTTAGGGCTTCCTGTCATGTCCCTACATTATACAAAACAGGCTCCTGTTGCTTGGGTTTTTAAGACTCTTGGTGAGTATAAAAAGTTCAGAGCAAAATGTTGGGAAAGCAGTTTTTGGGGTTTTTTTTGTTTTTTGTTTTTGTTTTTAAAGTGGGTATGGTGACTCATACCTATAATCTGAATACTTGGAAGGCTGAGGCAGGAGGATAGCACATTCTAGGTCAGCCTAGGCAACTTAGTAACTAATTGTTTGAGAAATAAAACAAATCCAAGGGTTAGGGCCCATGTTGCTCAGTGCACTTGCCTGGCAGGCACAGGGAATAAGGACCAGAGTTATGTTCCTAGCCCGTGGGCAGGATGAAGAAAGTTATGAGAATGGGGGAGGCATTTTTGGAAAGATTTCAGTTGTGATGGTTGAGAGGATGGAGTTTAGGATTGGAGAGATGACTCAGTGGTTCAGAGTGAGTACTGCTCTTGCTAAGGACCAGGGTTTGGTTCCCAGCATTCTCTTCCAGCCTAGTTGCTGTTATCCAGATCCAGGGGATCTGACTTCCCTAGGCACTCGCCCACTCCCTCCCTATACATGAGCAGAAATAGAAAACAAAGAGACTGAGTTTCAAGAGAAGACCTCAAGAAAAACTGCAAACCCAGGTTGTGCGGTCAGATGACCTCTGTACCCATCCAAGTGTGGGGCTGCATGCTGTCCCTTCCCTTGCGTTTGTGAGGCAGAAGTGTTTATTTTATCTTTGTGTGTTTTCCTGTGTGTATTTGGCTACTGTGCCCATCCTCCCAGGGTTTCCCCTTGAGGCCTCAATGAAGCCAGAGAGTAGAAAGAGAAATGAAAACAAAGAACACTTTACAAAACATGCTCTGGAAGAATGAAGACAGTGTCACAGGTAAATATAATCCCCAGAGTGAGCGTCGGGCACAGAGCACCAGACACACCTAATTGCTCAGAATAAAACCATGAGGTCTTTGATAGCATAACTCCACAAAGTTCCACCTGGATCACTCATTCATTTAACAGTCATGAAACAGCCCTTTGTATCCCTGCCTGGCTTCTTAGGAAGA